CCCTACACCCCTCCCATGCTGGGATCCGAGCTGCTCCCATTTCTCCCCACTGTCTCTCTCACACCAGGTCCAATATTCCTGTGGAAAATTCCCTCGGCAGTTGCCAACACAAGAACGGACCACGATGCTCAGGAAGTTCTACCTCTTCCCAGGCCACTGATCTCCTGCCCATGGTGAGTCTCTTCATCCCACACCTCTGCAGCAGCCTTTGGTCTGTGCCCCAAACCTGGTACCTGGCCAGTGAGGAGGACTGAGGAGAAATTCCTCACCGCTCCTGGGCTCCAGACCTCACAGCTCAGACCAGGAGATCCAAAGGACTCATGTGCTGGTGGCCAGGACTGGGCTGTGGCCTGACTCCATCCCCATCTCCCAGCTGGCTGTAGGAGAGGAAGGTGCTCAAGGAACTCACTTCAGCTGACTGTGTCTCAGGAGCTTCTCGGTCTAATATTCTTTACAGGTGAAAAAATATGAAATGGACAGAAAAAGCGTGTGAATTTGCAGGTACCACAGCACAAAGCTCGAGCTCACGGCGAGCGCAGCCCTGCTCCAGAGACACTTCTCCAGAGAAGAGGGAAAGCCAAGAACAGCTCTGCAGATGCACAGTGAATCTCCAAACCAGCTACTCGTGTCCCCTCTGCTCGGCAGTTACAGACAGACCTGGAATAGAGCCCTTGCTCCCCTCCCCTCCCCTCCTCTCCCCTCTCCTCAGGTGGAGGAAGGACACGATTCCCCCTGGGAACCATGAGAGATCCTCAAACCCGTGTCTTCCGCACACTGCACCCGCAGCTCCGCGTGTGACAGGCCCAGCCCCGCTGTCACCTCCCAGAAGTATCACTGCTGGGCAGGGAGATCCCCTTCCTGTGCCCCCCACCGCCCTCCCTGTCCTCCATGGCCACATCCAAACCATCTTCTGCCTCAGCATGGATCCGGCTTTATTGCTGCAAAGTCACAGCCAGATCCACAACCAGGTGGTCTGGCAGCAGGAAAGTGAGGGTTCTCCTGTCCCCTCCCTGTCCCCAAGACACTCCAGCGCAGGCAGGACAGGCTGTGTGGGAAGGGCAGTGTCCTGGGCTGGTGCCACCCCACGTCCCTGTGAGGTGGCAGGAGGGCTCAGCAGGATGGAGGTGCCTCTCCACTCCGGCTCCAGGTGACCCGAGGTGGGAGGTGGCCTTGCAGGCAGGAGCAGACTGCAAAGTGGGCAGCCGGTCCAGGCTGAGCCCCTCCTCACAGAGCCCCACGTCACTACTGCCTGGAGCTCCCCAGGTCCCACCCACGTGGTGCCTGCACAGACCCTGGTCCCCAGAGCTACGGTGGTGGCAAGAAACTGAGGACAGCAGTGATGAATTCTTCAAATTTGTCCTGATGGACGATGTGTCCTGCGCCTCTGATGTACTGGACATCTGCCTGGGGGAAGAGGCGCCGGATCTCCGGGTAGTCTTTGGAGCTGCAGGACAAGGGAACACGCCATGGGAAGTGTGGGCAGAGTCCATCCAGGCGTGTTCCCTCACCCTCCCCAGGCAGGGAGATGTGCAAGGGCTGACCACGTCCCCTTCCCTGCTGGGAAAGCCCAGCACGGTCCCCAGGTCCCCCCCTCGCTCTCCAGCACGTTGGTGTCACTGGCTGCTGGAGGCACAGAGCTTGCTCCAGGACCTTCCCCATCTCAGGAGCTTCCTCCCACCCTGGATAGCCACAGAAAAGGACAAGGGGTCAAACCACAGACTTCAAACCGCTTCTCTCCAGTCCCACCTGATGTAGGGTGAGTTGGATCCTC